TGGTATCATTCTTTCTCTCGATATTTGTGAGCCACTGAATAGCAGAAGAAAGCAAGGTTCTGTTCTAACATCTTGGCACTGGCAGTTTAATAGCCAAGCTCTAATTAGAGATTTTAATCCACTGAGGAATTTTTTTATATTTTTCAAATCTTTGAAAGACTAGTAATCCAGAAATCCCAAGCAAATCTCTTAAATTGGTTGTGCAAGCCTCAGTTTCCATACTCTCTTCTGTGTCTGTCACCAGAAGCCCCCTTCTCTTCCCACCTTGCCTGGAATGTAGAGCCACCTTCATTTAAACTTTCTTCCTGAGGAAGGAACAACTTCTGCCCCCAAAACATACTTGACTCCCCTCACATCTGACCCTTCAACTATTCCTGCCCTGACTGCTCTCCTTTTGGGAATTTGAACCTTCTGGGTCCTATTTTATTCAGCTGCAGGGATACACTATGGAAAGACAGTGAGGCTATTAGTGAATGCTCAAGGGATGGCCATCTAACATTGGGGTTAGAAGAATAGAGAGGAGATGAAATAATTTATTCAAAGAACCAAAAAAAAAAATTTAAAAATGCATCCCATACAATGTCTCAGACATTAAAAGAGGATTTAAAAATATAACATATGGGCCCTCTCTGGTGGCGCAGCAGGTTAAAGCACAGCACTAAGAAGCTAAAACCACTTCAGCATGAGTTTGATCCCTGCCCTGGGGCTGACCCACATGGTGCAGCAGACCTCTCCTGATGCGGCTGCTGCTCCCCTCAGCAGTGTGCTTCATCAGTCCGCCTGTTCTGCTCCCCACTCTGTCTCTGGTGAATCCTCTCACCATCCCTGCACCTCTGGCCTGTACTGTACCCCAGTTCTTAAATAAAGATTAAATAAATATATATATATATATATATATATATATATATATATATAACATAGTGTTTACCAGTCTCAGCTCAGACCTCATGACTGAGGAAGAGAAATAAAAAACAATCACTAAGCCACAACCGCTTCAGCACTAATTCGATGCCCAGCCAGGGAACTGACCCACATGGCACAGCAGACCTCTCCTGACTCACCTGCTGCTCCCCTCAGCAGTATACTTTGTCAATCTGTCTGTTCTGCTCCCCAGTCTGTCTCTGGTGACTCCTCTTACCCACCACACTTCTGGCCTATACCCCAGTTCTGTAAGCATAAATAAATAAATTTTTTTTAAAAATACTATCAATACAATGCTATTGGGTAGACATGAAGTGTTACATTCAGCCATTTAATTCTAAGCTTAGAAAAATGAAGGTGACAAATGTCTTAAACCTGACTTTTTTTTAATATTCTCATTATTAATGTATATATGTACTATATGGATGTGTATCATATAATGTAATAAGTAAACATGGATTCAATTTTACCAAATACAGAAATAAAAAAAGTCACTTCAGCCATATTCTCCCATAGCCAGTAGCAAATAGTTTTAAAAGGATACCCTAAGTATTCCATGGATATTTAGTATTTGGAATGGCAGAGGTCATCCAAATCAGCACACCACTTTCAGGCCTAAGCAGGCAACATCTTTTCCAGGTCATTCATCAAGTTCATGGCCTACATCTAATATCTACATCTATTCTTCAAAGTGAATTCCTTCCTTTCTAGATAAAGAGATTAAGGGAAAGCTTATCTCCCACTTGCTACAAAATTTCAATTCCTGGGCAGTGACCAATCCCCAAAGTTACTGTCGCACCCAAACTGTAAGATTCAACCCTGCAGCATAAATGTGGCACCAAATAAAGGGGTGCCCATTTGTACATTCTGCAGTAACACATGATTTCCAGACCTGTTGAAAACCCATCCTATCTGTTGGAATCTAAAATGTTGACTATAGCATTATCGCCGCCCCCAACATGGCAGCCTTTAGTGTACACACAAGAACATGTACACCAAATATCCTCTCTTACCACTTTACCCTCTAATCGCCAAGTCTCCTCGTATCGCTTAGTGAGAAGACACACTGCACAATTATTTGAGAAAACGACCCAGTTTCAAAAGACTAAGGATGACTAGGAGTCTGTAAAGTGAAAGAATGGATTCCCTCTGCTCCTTATGGGACATGTAATCACAGCTTAAGCTCCTCCTTTGGAACAGCAAGACATCTGGATGTCGTTTGAGATAGGAGCAAGGACTATCCTCTGTTACTAATAAAATATCTTTTTTTTTTTTTTACTGTTGCTAAGGTCATGAGCAGGAACTAGTCATGAACTAATTATCCTTCTACATCACTTGTAGAATCCAACAATACGTTTTATGGCTTCTTCTGAACTTGCTAAGGGCTAGAGAAGGAAATGTATCCCACTCCTAAGCTCAAGATGAGGACAAAGGTTATTCTAAATGACAACTTTCAGTTTAAAGAACTCTGAAAATCATCTTCTCAAAAAGGCTTGAGAATTACCAAGATACCTCTATTACCCATGTGATGAACAAGTTTCTAATTCCCTTTTTATGAAGAGAAGAGATGCTATGCCAAGATGACCCTGTTTGCAGTAGTGGATGAAAAGAAAAATATCTGAGGAACTTGGACAACCCAGACTGTCATGTGCTCATGCTGACTTACATGAATTCTATAGACCACAGCAGTACATTCTTTCTAAACAGTGTGGTGGATCTCTTATTTCTGTGAAATATGATACATCTTGGAATTTGGAACCCAAAAAACATAAAGGGCTATTTGCAAGTTTGAGACACAGTCGTGTAAGCCTCATGGGTAGAATATCCAACATCATCTGTGTGTATCTTCCTAATTTCAGCAGTTTATCTTACTGCTCATTCTTATTATACCTCCACCAGATTTCTCATTGAAGACTCAACTCCTTCCAACAATCTCTGACTGTAATCCAGAAAGGCCCAGCTCATGGAAACCTCTGCACCTGCTCCAGAGGTAACCTGCTCTTTCTGTCTTCATCGATGGTAGACGAGGATCTACCAAAAATGGGTAACTTTGGGAAAAGGGTCTCCCCAAATGTAGTGAAGGCTCTTAAGATGAAATCATCCATATTATACAGGTGGGATCTCCACTGACTAGGAGTTTCCTTATAAGGGAAACAAAGATGAGCACTAGCAGAAGAGGAGGGAGACACCAGAACCACGAAAACAGAGATGCAGTGAGGCAGCCATACAAGGATTGCTAACAGCCACGAGAAGCCAGATGAATACTCCAGGGTACTAGGCTTTTACAATTCCTTGATTTTGAACTTCTGGATGGGATACTCTAAATCTATTGTTGTTTGTTGTTGTTGTTGTTGTTTTAAAAATTTATTTATTTGGGCATACAGAACTGGGGTACAGGCCAGAGGTGCAGGGGTGGTGAGAGGATTCACCCTAGAAAGAGTGGGGAGCAGAACAGGCAAATTGACAAAGCACACTGCTGAGGGGGGCAGCCGGCGGGTCCGGGCGGGTCAGGAGAGGTCTGCATGGCCATGTGGGTCACCTGCCACCAGGGATTGAACTCATGCTGAAGTGGCTTTAGCTTCTGAGTGCTGTGCTTTAACCCACTGCACCACTAGGGAGGGCCCATGTAGACATTCTTTTAAGAAAAGGCTGACTTAAATTCCAAAAGCAGGATATCCTACAAAATGACTGAGCACTATTCCTCAAACCTGTCAAAGTCATCAAAAAATGCATAAAGTATGAGAAACCCTACTGCCAAAAGGAGTCTCAGGACACATGCGGATTCAATGACAAGTGATAACCCTGAACAGAAAGGATAGTAGGTAAAAATTAAAGAAAACGAATAAAATGATGGCATTAGTTAAAAATAATTTTATCAATACTGGTTCACTGATTTCAACAAAAATACTTTGTAAAGTGCTAATAAGTGAAAATGAGGGTCGGATGTATGGAAATTCTGTTATCTTCTCATTAGTCTGTAAATATTAAACTACCCAAAAAGCCTGTTAACACACAGTCATAACAGCCGTCTCTATCAACATTCATATTTTACATGAGAAATGAAGCTGGAGGAAGTGAAACATTTCATACAAATCAGCAATGTTCAGGAAATTCTCTAGACGGTTTCCCAGCATGCCAGTCCCTATTGCAAAAACGCCTATTAATATTATTTAACAAGACTTTTCCTTTCTTCCCAATTATTGGCGATGTTCTGTAAAGGGAACACCACCACGAAACCTTTCCAGATAAGTTTAAAAAAAAAAGCAATGAAAAGACAAAACAGCTGGTTCTGCAGCCCAGTTTCCAGGGCTAACTGGCGTGCCATCTGCTCGCAGCCTACAGTGGTAACCATGGTTCACGTGTCACACCAGCGATCGGTGTTAGGAAGTTTGTCCCAACAAGCCTGGACAACTTCGCCGCCGCGCAGGTTGGGGGGGAGGGGGCGGCGGCGGCAGCATCCAGGGTGCGTGGATCGTTTTTCCAAACTCCATCTGCTTTCCCCAGCCCTGGCGGTGCCCGCGGTCTCCCGGCGCGGCCAACCCAGAGGACCTGAGCTCGTCTTTTATGCATAACAAAAGAGCCCTCCTCCGCCTCCTCCCACTGCCCCGCGCCGCCCCCACCTAGGCTTCCCGCGGCCGCCAAGGGCCCGCGTCCCCGGCAGGAATTGGCTCCGGGTCCGCGAGGTTTCCAGGTACCCGGAAGGGAGGGGGGGCCCGAGGCGGCAACAATTGGGCGGGTGCGGCCGAAACGCGCGGCCAGGAGCGCCAAGACTTGGAGGGGCGGCGAGCTCGGACCTCGCCGCCCCACGATTGGCCGGGTCCGCTCCGTCGGCCGCCGCTGATTGGTGGATTCTCAAATTCGGTCTCAAGGCGCCAGAGGAGGTGTTTTAGCGAGGACCGAGATCGGGGCTGGAGTCACGCTCAGTGAGGTCGGGACGCTGGCGCAGCCTGCTAGCCTAGGGGTCCCCCCCTAGCACTAGACGCTCGGCACAGGGATCTGCACGCCTTCTTTGCCCCACCCGATGTCGCCGCCCGGATGCTGATCGCCTCGCCCTGGTGATCCCACGCTGGTGTGGGCTGTGGAGGTCCCGGAGGCAGGAAACCTCCTTAGCAAAGCGGGAGTAAGTAGCGTGCGGCACAGGCGCCGGCGGAGAGGCGGGAATTGGGGGGAAAGGGGACCCCTCCCTCCCTTGCTGCCTGTCTACCATCTCTGCCATCCTGGGCTGGAGGGGAGTTTTGCTTCTATTTCTCCCTGTGTCCGGTCAGTAGAGGGGACTTGCCCTTCGACACGATTGGGGGGTTCATTGAAGGGTTTATCCTTGGGGGGCTTCTCGGAGGCCCGGGACGGGGCTGCGCCAAGTGCTGGGTGGGTTTGGTCTAGCGATCAGGTTTCCTTCTATCCTGATTCAAAACCCCCTCAATGCCGAATTCCTTCCAGTTCTTTGCGCCAAAACTAACTGACCTAGGAGACCCAGTAGTTACTGACAAATTTGCCCTACACATCCTGACTTGGTAACTTAATTTTGCTCTGTTTTCTGCCCCCCGCCCCCATTTACTAATTTTGTTGAATATTTTCCTCTCTCCAGGCTTTCAGTAATTATGCTAAACACATTTTAAGTGTTTATGTTCATTCATATGTGTTTTAGGGAGAGCTGGGGGTGACTACACTCCTAGTAAATTGCCAGGGTTTAGGGAGGGGGAAGTTCATGTTCAAGAGCAAGAAAAAGATATTGTTGTTGCTAGAGAAGAAAACAGCCAATTGTAAAATCATATTCTAATGTAAAGTGTGCATTGCAGATGGAGGTAAATTGTTTAACACTAAAAGACCTGATCAACCCCAGGCAACCCAGAATAGATTGTGCAGTTGAGGATGGGGATAATGCACAAAAGGTAAGCACCCTTACATACTTTCAACTCTTCTTTATGATGGTGGTGTCTAAACTAGTAAACTGTTCCATAAACTTAATTAATTAATTTTGATGAACATTACAGAACATTAAATACTTTCAACTCTCTTTATGATGGTGGTGGCTAAAGGAGTAAACTGTTCCATAAACTTAATTAGTTTATGGAATGTCATAGATGTATTTTTATGAAACAGAGGCATCTAAAGCCATACTGTTCATGTTTCAGTCATTTGAGGCTAGGTTTGATGTAATAATGCTGGATTTACATGAATCAAAGATATGTTGAACGCTGCAATCAGAAGTGTATAACACTTACAGTTGAGAGTGGAATTACGTAATAATTTTTAGGAATGTTAAACCTCAATTCCCAGGAAAGGACACTCTTTTTCTGTAAGTGCTCAGTTATTAAAATCCTACAAAATGTTCTGGTCACCAATGAACCAGCTCCCAGAGGTTGCTCCATTCACCCATGAGCATGGCCTGCGAGACTCCCCTAGAGGGAGATAAAGACCTTAAGACAACCAGCACAGTCTGAATATTTTACAGTGCAGTGATATGGTTAGTCTTGCACTGAGTCATCCTCTCTCTTTTTTGTGATTTTAAGAATATGGTTTTATCTTTGTGAAACATTCAAAGGAAACTTGGCCCAAGCAATGTCTAAACTACCACAGAACCCACCTCAGCAGTTGCACTCTCCAGCCACTGCCCTACTGGAAAGGTGAAATAACCTGCTAGTAGTAAATGTCTAAGCATTTTTGGCAGAGGCAAGTAGATATAACAAACCGATTAGAAACTTTAAATACCAATCTGTGCTTAGCAGCTTCCTTGGTCCCTGAACTTACCTTACATTTATGCTCTTACTTTTAGTGTTAGCATCAACGAAGAAACTGCCTGTTTGTAAACACCTGTTGTATGACCTTTGAAGAACACTTGACAGCTTTTAATTTTGGATAGGACTGATTTTATGCTTTCCATGTAGGGTTTTTTCTTTTCCCTAACATTGAATTCATTTTTGTTAAGGAAGGGAGTAGACTAGAACATTCTAGTTTTAAAGATGACTTTTGAAGAAATTACCTTGTGGGGATGAAAATACCTGACTTTTAAAATATATAGTCAGAGTTTTATCTTTAGGTGTGTCAGAACAAAACTTTTTGTTTTCTTTTGTAATCTGGATAGAACAACCTTGAAAGAATGTGTATACATTTATGTAAAACCTAAGTCAGCGTCTACTTCTTTCCTTATGGGTCAATGGCTTTTTATCAAGTGCCTTCAAAAAGGGTGCTTCTACTATAGCTAGCATTAGTAAGTGCTGTATTCAGCTGAGCTTTCACGTTTTAATGGGTATGGAGAGAAAAGCAAATAACTCAAAAAAGATTGGATACGTGGTTAAAATATTTGAAATACCGCATATAAGTACCGCATGGCTTATTTCACCTCATAGAGAAGGCAAAGGAGGAGAGCAGAGATAGTAGGTGGGACTTCAGTGTCTTACATTGCTGTGAAGTAAGGAAAGGAGAACATAGGATTTGGAGTCAGAGAAATTGGGGTTTGAGTCTTACTCTTCCATTTAATGACTGTATAATCTTAGACATACATATTTACTCAGTTTTTCAACAACTGTACCACAGGCTGGGGCTTCGGTGGTTTAACAAGTCTCCTAACCTCTCTAAGCCTGTTTTTTCCTACCATATATTAGAGCTAATAAATAGCGTTTCCCTTGGTTTTTATAAAGCACTCAGTAACAGATAACTACTGTTCACACCATGCTCAATTGAACTAACAGCCCAAAGATGAGTATGATGCAGGCCCTGCTCTGAGAACACCAAGAGATGTTCAGGATCTCAGATGTAAAGCAAACCAACTATACTATGATTCAGTGCGTGCTCTGGTAGGGAGAACCAGAGATAAGATAGCTCGCGAGCACTGTTTCCGTGGCAGAAATATCTTGATTCCCCACCATCCTGGGATGCCTAGGGTGGCAAGCTGGGACAAGGAGGGAGATAGCCCTTCTCTCCCTGCCCCAGTTACTGCTTCACCAGCTCTGGAGCCAGCAAAACAGAGAAGGAAAAAATAAATTCATGGGGAGTTCTTAAAGCATCAGGAAGTTTTTCATAGTAGAAGCCAATAGGCAAAGGATATTTCACATTTAACTTATGAGAAAAAAACGAGGATGTTGGAGGAAGAAAAAACATGAGATGTGAGGATATAAGAAATGTTTGAAATATACAGAGTGGCCAGAAATAGAGTTGTGACTTACTGTTTCTTGAAGCTCTTTGAGGGATACCTGGAACATTGCCCTGTGAATCAATTGGCATTTAGAGGTTTTTCCTTGATTGTCTTTACTTGGTTCAAGATCTCTAAGTACTATCTATTATGCATGTATCTTCTTACCACTCAGGAGAAACTTACTGTAAATATGAAGGAGTTTTCATATCCATTACCCAAATTTGCTGTGTCCTGTTTGGGATTATAAATAAAACTCTCCTCTTAAGTTTTTTACATTGCATTTGGGGATGAAGAAAGTAGAAAGTGATGATTTGCAATTAAACAATCAGGATTTAGCTGTTGGGAAAGCTTTTTGGAGGAGATGATACCTGAGCTACAGCTTGAAGGAATAAATGCTCAGGTGTATGTAGGTAAAGAGGATGAAAGTAGTACAGAAATAGAAATGAACATGAGTTTTCCTTGAAGGTCAATTATCTCTTTGAAGAGTAGTCGAAAAACAAAAGTTTCAAATTCAAAGGGATAAGTTCATCTTTTGTTCATTGGAGCACTATTTACAATGCCAAATCATGGAAACAACTTAAGTGCCCAAAGACAAGTGAATGGACTACATATGTGGTGAAATACTATTCAGCCATAAAAAAGATTAACCCATGCCATTTTCTACAAATGGAAATGGAACTGGAGGGGATGATGCTAACAGAAATAAGTCAGAAGGAGAAAGATAGACACACACACACTTGCATACATACATATAAAAGGATATATATATATAAAAAGGCTATATCACTTATATGTGTAATAAGAGAAACAAAACAAAGGGTCAGATAACAAACAGTTAACCCCTGCTGGCACAAGGGATTAAAGCACAGCACTATGAAGCTATCTGCAGCCACTGCAGCATGAGTTCAACCCCCAGTCCTGGAGGTGAACCACATGGCACAGTAGACCTCTCCTGTCTTGCCAACTGCTCCCCTCAGCAGTGTATTTCAGTAGATATGCCTGTTCTGGTTCCCACTTTGTCTCTAGTGAATCCTCTCACCCGCACCCCCCAACCCTCTGGCCTGCACCCCAGTTCTTATATGCATGAATAAAAAATATATCTTTAAAAAACATTCCTTTTTGAGATGTGGTACATATACACAATGGAATATTACTCGGCAACCAAAAAAAAACAACATGCCTTTTGCAGCAACATGGATGGAGTTAGAAAAGATCATGCTTAGTGAAATAAGGCAGAAAGAAAAGGAAAAATCCTGCTACCCACTCATAGCAAGATATAACGGACCAGACGAGAAAATAACAATAATAATGAACATGTATATACCAGAGATATTTTATGGGGTGGAGTGGGGGATGGGATCAAAAAACAGTAGGGGGAGGGAAATACACTGGACTATGGTGATGGCACATGGGTGATTTGGTGATGGGAAGCCCAGGGGATTACAACTGAGATGGAAAAAGGCACAAATTGATGTAAAAATAAACTATTATATTATTAAAAAATATACATTCCTTTTTGTAAGGAATCATGCTTAGTGAAATAAGCCAGAAAGAAAAAGAAAAATACTGGATGGTTTCACTCATAATAGGAGCATAAAGGACTGGGGTGTGGGGGTGTGGAAAATAATAATGAACAACTATATACCAGAGACATTTTACAGGAGTGGAGAGGGAAATGGGATCAAAAATGGGGGGGAGGAAGAAGTGCACTGGATTACGGTGATGGCACACGGGTGAATTAGTGATGGGAAGTCCACGGGAATTATAACTGAGATGGGAAAAGGCACAAAATGATGTAAAAACAAATTTTAAAAAATAAAAAAAAAAAATCCTTTTTTTTTTGTCCACAGAACAATGACAACTCTTGCAAATTACTCAGTCTCTCTTCAGTGAGAAAAGAGAATAATCCTACCTACTTTTTAAGGTTTTTAGAGGGATTAAGAGTAAAATATCAGAAGTCTCCAGAAATGCCCCCTTAGGTGGCTTTATTGTTGTGCAAAGGTCAAAAGTATAATTTCACAAACCTAGATGGCACAACTTATTACACACTAGACTGTGTAGTATGTGGACTCCTGGGCTGTCATTTATGCAGTCTGTCATTGATCAAAACATCACTAGTGACACTGATTCTGTACCTGTGAAGTATAGGTGAATAACTATTTATGTGCAAAAGACAGCTAGTTCCCTTATTTGGAAATTGATGGAAGATCCTAGCCACAAACTTAGGAATTATCAACATACTAATATTTAAAGACTTGTATGTGAAACGTGGTCAATGATCTCAGAGAACAAATTGAGAGGCAGAGAGGGCTTAGGTTTATAAGAATGGGGAAAAGAGGAACTCATAAGAGGGAACAGAGAAATAGGAAGAGAACAAGACAAACAGTGGTGTCTCAGAAGTGCTGAGCATTTTCAGAGCAAAGAACATGCAGCAGTTTTAACCACTGTGGGCAGGTTGAGGGACACAGTTTGCCATTGACCTGGTAACTGAGAGGCAACTCAGTGAATTGAATTGAGGTTTGAGAATCTCCTGGGAAGTGATGGCAGCAAGGGAGAGGCTCTCTCAGTGTGGATTACTCGTTCTAGAAAGTGTACTCTGAAGGGGAAAAACAGTTGTTAGTCAATCTCTAGAAGGACACACTTCTAACATGTCTTCTTTGCCTTAATAGCGACCTAAACAATAGGTAGGGTTTCAGTGGGCAAAGCTTAGCTGTTGTCTTTAGACAAAGTGGTGTCAGCAGCAGCTTAGACATGATGAAGAGCAGAGCAGGTTGAAGAAAAGCCAGTGTGGACTACACATGCAACATGTTGGATATGCATGAGAGCACTTGGAAAGAACACATCAGAATATTGCTAAGGCCATGACAAGGCTGATGACTATGTATGTTACTTGAAGTAACCTAATCAAAGCTACTCTGAAACAGAAACAGAAGTAGAACCTAGTCCTCGTCTTATAACTATGAACTCTCTATGGATGTATACAGCATGGTCATGATACTGGTAAGATTACCAGTTATAAGGTACGTGAATGTAGCACTTCACAGCTTACAAACTGCTCTCACCTTATCTGATCTGATGCTTATAGCGGCCTTATGGCAACTAAGTCCAGGTACATTATTCCATTTGCATAGTAAAACTGGAGAACATGTCGTCTTTGCCTAGCCTATGTTCTCAAGACTCCCCTAACTGAGGAGGTGATTTCCAGGGAATTCCAACTTAGATTACCTGGCAGGCAGATCTGACTGGGAGTTTAATGTGCAAAGGGTCATTTAGGGAGTGCTTTGGGGATACACGCCTTGGAAGGGGAAGGGAAGAGACCAAAATTGGAGAGAAGAGATAGAGCTGAGTATAGTCTCAGCAGAAAGCTGACTTTAGCCTAAAGGGAGGTCTAGGATCACCCCTGGAAGTAGTTTTGAGTTAGGACAGAGGGATCAATGCTACTTCTACCAGCTCTTCAGAAATCACAGGCTTCCTGGAAGTGACCTGATCCTGATAAGTCAGCCCTCTTCAGCCAAGCCAAGAAGGGGGGTTATTACTTTCAGCAGCCAGGGGATGAGTCATTCATTGTTGAAGAGATCTGGGTGCATCCCAGTGTTTACCACACAGCCAGGCAGCCTTGCTGGAAAGTCCTGGAGATAATCTGAACCCTTTACTTGGGGATTAGGAAACTTAGACCCAAACATAAATGAAATACTTGCCCAGTATCAAAAAGATACAAAGCAGAAAAATAACCAGGATTCCAAATTCTCATTGCAGTCTCCTCCCTATTGCCTTACATAGTGTCAGAATTGTGGGGACAGACAGCTGAGTGGCCAGGCTATCACTAGACTACAGCTGACCACCTGCCCACTGGAGACCTCAAAAAACAATTTGCACGGCATTGTTTTCTCATCATGTAGAGGATCAGATACAGTCGTAACCTACCAGGTAATCTAACTCTCCTCCCACTTTCAGAGTTACTTAAATTACATTGAACTATAGATCAACATGGAGGAGGAAGCAATTGCTTCCCTCAGTAGCAAAAATGTAAGAGTTCATCTTCCCTGTAATTACAGAGACTAGGGAGGCACTTGGGAAGGAGGGTGGCGTTCTTCCACTTTAACAAGCCTAGACCACATCCTCTCCCATGAGGATACCTTTTGAAATAACTGGTAACCAAGGCATAGTCTTCTCTAACCACCTAGAAGGGCCAAAGCATTGTACTAAAAACTGAAGAGCGACACAAGAACTGCTCCCTGCTTCCTTAAGTGACCAGTTTCACTAAGGAGACAAGACACACCGCAGGATGTTGAGTAGCAGGACAGTGTGCTATAGTCTCAGAGAATGGGGAAAGGTGGAATAACTACCTTTTATTCCATGTATGTTTTATGCCAGGAACTAGTCTCACACTCCCTACGGTTTGTATTTCTATGAATGACATAGTAAAAAGGAGGAATTCGCCCACAATCACATTTGAGAGGTAGCAGAAGCAGGTAAGCTGGCCTCAGTGACAGTGCAGACCTCTTTCCCATACCCAACTCTTCATAGATGCTAGTGAACATCCGTGTCCCGCCAGATACGTTTTATTGGAGCTCTGAAAAAGACACACTTGAGTTCATATCAGTAAAACCCATTTCCCTGGATCTCATCTGAAAGTGATCGCCCAGTCTTAGATTCTTCACTTCGTGGAGTCTCTCTCGTGGTATTTCGTAGAGCTTTGATTGGCACCCAGACTGCTCCTGTTGCTTAGAGATTCTTTTCCTTTGCGTCTCCGGTCAAGTCGGCACATATCTCCAAAGATTTCACATTGCAGCTGGTTAGAGATTTATAATTCAGTGATTCGCCACCTACAACTCCAGATGTCTTCCTGGCATCTTTAGAAATCTTGACTGAGGTGTGGTTTCCGGCTCTACTTGTTCATTGGGGAGTGTGAAGAGTGAGTCAGTAGCAGAAGCTGGAGGGCAGGAACTTTGCTGTACTTGTGATCATGTCTTCCACAAAGAGCAGCCTGCAGGAATTTGGAAATTAAAATCCTGGGTAGTTTGAGAAGCATGCTTTGGAGAGATAACATTGACGGCTCCAATATAAATGTGATATTTTGTGCAGTGCTCTTACATTAATTCCTGCTACAAATTGCTGGTGAACATTATAATTGGAGACTAGAGTGGTATACTCTTCACTAGTTAGTATGAACTTGTAAATAGTGTTTTGTTTTGTTTTGTTTTTTAATGTAGCACTTAGAAGCAGTATGGTTCAATTTACTCATCATCCTCAACCATTTCAACAATCCAACAGAGAGATAACACATGACATCTTTCAGCGATGCCATAGAAAATAAGTTTAAAAGAGTAGCATATTATCATCAGTTTCTCACTGGAGCCACTCTTCAATTTCCAGGAATCTTCCTGATTTTCACTTGCCCTTTCCTGATAGTTTCCAGATATAGTCTGTTTATATTGCCACGTCTTGGTAAACAGCAGAAACAAAGTATTGTCTAAACTGATGCTAGTCTGTTCTCACTCATCCTAAAAGATCTCTTTTCTTAAATAGGAAAATATATTTGTTGATCGATCAAGGATGACCCCGAAGACTCCAATAAAAAATGAACCGATTGATTTATCGAAGCAAAAAATTTTCACTCCAGAAAGAAATCCCATCACTCCAGTGAAGCTTGTTGACAGACAGCAGGTGGAACCATGGACACCCACAGCTAACCTGAAGATGCTCATTAGTGCTGCCAGCCCAGACATCAGAGACAGGGAGAAGAAAAAGGAACTGTTCAGACCCATCGAGAACAAGGATGATGCATTTACAGATACTCTTCAGGTAAACAGGCTAAGAGCTTTTAGAGAATTTAAAAAGTTTTACTTGATTATTAAAAGGTCATTGGCTTCTCAATTTTCTAGTTACTTTTGAACCAAAAATAGTACTAATTAACCAACAGCTATATCTAACATATATTCTTTTCTTTATGGTACTCCCTTGACAGCAAATTTAAAAATGATAATTTTAAGCAATATTTTATAATTTTAATGTATTGTGTACATGAATTTTTAATCCATTTTTTAAAACGATTTATTTATTTATGCATACAGAAATGGGATATAGGCCAGAGGTGCAGGGGTGGTGAGAAGATTCACCAGAGAAAGAGAGTGGGGAGCAGAACAGGCAGACTGAAGCAGACTGCTGAGGGGAGCAGCAGGTGGGTCAGGAGAGGTCTGCCACACTCTGTGGATCGCCTCCGGGTAGGTGGGGATCGAACTCATGCAGAAGTGGCTTTAGCTTGTTAGTGCTGTGCTTTAACCCGCTGCGCCACCAGGGAGGGCCCCTTTAATCCATTTTTAAGTGCTGTTGTGAATTATAATTTTACTCGAACTTTAAGGGTACTTTTAATCTAAATATTTTCAACTTCTGAAGTTTTGTTACCCTCATATATGTTCAGTTCCTTGGTTTGGGGCTTTAGACTTAAATCATCTCTACATTACCTGACCTGGGAGAATCAGCTGCTGAATAAGTAACATAATTGCTCTCTTTTAAATAGTTAGTCAATGATTTTTAAACTCTTCTTTTAAAACTCTTCCCCAAATTTGCAAAGGAAAGTTACTAATAGATAACTGTTATTTTTCCTCCATTTGGCTGATTTTTTTAAACTATAAATATTGCCAAGTGAAGAAACTGAAAAAGAAGAAGTGAAAAGATGTCCTGTATCACAACTTGAAATTAATAGAACAAAGTGAATTGATCTGCAGTATTCTTCATTGCAGTGATATAACAGATTCTTTCATGTAACTAAATACACAGTATGAAGTTTTGAGAGTAAATCCTAAGCCAGACAATTTTCACAATTTCTCATTTTAAGCTTGAACCATTCTTTGACTTCCTTTCTGTTTTATATTTGATGTGGACAGCACAGAGACTTGGCTTCAGAGGTCTTAGGTTCAAGTCACTAGCTGGATGAGGGGAGAAATGGCTCAAGGTTTTTATATCTCTGCACTTCTGTTTACTCAACTATAAGGTAGTGTGGTACCTGCCCTGGTTCCACTAGAATTGTGTGAATCAAATCAAATCAAATTTGTTTTTTGTTGTTAATATTAGTTGTTTTTCTGTTTTCTTGATATAAATCAACAACATGAAAATCACCCAATGGGAAACTGTTAGTGACCTCTTTCACTCCTTAAGAAAGGAACATTATTGATATCTTTTTTGGAAGAACGGGTTGTTTAATTTGTCACTAAAACAATTCAATTTTTGTTTTTCTACCCAGACTTTAAGGGGTATTTTTTTTTTTTAAGATTTCTTTATTTATTCATACAGAACTGGGGTTCAAGCCAGAGATGCGGAGAGTGAGAGGATTCACCAGGGACAGAGTGGGGAGCAGAACAGGCAGATCGACTAAGTACACTGCTGAGGGGAGCAGTGGACGGGTCAGGAGAGGTCTGCCGCACCATGTAGTCACCTCCTGGGCAGGCGGGGATCGAACTCATGCAGAAGTGGCTTTTGCTTCTTAGTGCTGTGCTTTAACCCGCTGCGCCACCAGGGAGGGCCTACAAGGGTATTTTTAATTGATCAATCATGAATTATGTTCCCTTCTACCCTGAACTAAATTCCTAAAATTTGAGTGGCCTTAAAACAACCTTTGATGACTTTTTAAAATTGATTCTTTATTACCATTTGATGGAATATCTGGTTATATAAGATACATTTATCATATATGTAAGATCTTTAATCTACCTCCCAAGCCCCAAACCAGAACAGTTCTACTAATTATATTTACCTCCACCACAGACAACTTTTTACCCGAACTTATATTTTATCACTCCCTTGCCATTTTTAAATCACTGTCACACAAGTGTGTGTTCCTACATATTACCTATTTTTTTAATTTTAAGCTTTCATAAAATTAAAGCGGGTGGGTCAGGAGAGGTCTGCTAGGCCATGTGGGTCAGCTCCCTGGCCAGGGATTGAACTTGTGCTGCAGTGGCTTCGGAGAGCTTTATTTATTTTATTTTTTTTTTTTTAAAGATTTATTTATTTATGCATACAGAACTGGGGTACAGGCCAGAGGCTCAGGGGCGGCGAGAGGCTTCACCAGAGACAGAGTGGGGAGCAGAACAGGCAGATCAACGAAGTACACTGCTGAGGGGAGCAGCGGGTGGGTCAGGAGAGGTCTGCCACGCCATGTGGTCACCTCCGGGGCAGGCGGGAATCAAACTAATGCGGAAGTGGCTTTAGCTTCTCAGTGCTGTGCTTTAACCCGCTGCGCCACCAGGGAGGGCCCGCAGAGCTTTATAATGCGGTGCTTTGACCTGTTGTGCCACCAGGAAAAGCCCCTCACTTAATTTTTTTAGTCAACTACAGATCACATATACATGGTCGTCCCAAAAGACTATATCATTTAGACTTGTGTAACTGCACTCTCTAATGTTTGTACAACCACAGAATTGCCTAAGGATGTATTTCTCAGAATGTATCCTCATTCCTAAGCAACATCAAACCATACTATGATTTATTTACTCATATTCCTGTTTAAAACCATTTAGATTATTTCCAATTCAGATCAATAGGACCTATGCTTGCTCCCATCCCTAGTGTACATATCCAGGAGTTTCTCTAGGGCAGTAGCTCTCAAAGTGTGGTCCAGGGACTTTGAAGCCCCTGAGACTCTTTGAGAAGGTCCAGGAAGCCAAAACAATTTTCATAATAATATATAATAAAATGCTTGCTTTTGAACTCTGAATATACATCAGTTTTCCAGTGACTTCATGATGTGACTATTGAAACAGATAAAGAAGCAAACATGAGAATCCCGCTTTCCTCTGTTAAAGCAGACACAAAGAGATTTGAAAATTATATAAAACACTGTCGCTTTTTCACTAACTCCTTAAAGTGTCTCAGTTTTCATTTCTAATATATTAAATAATGATACATAAAACCCAGGTAAAAAGTTCTGTGAGGGGCCTCAGATATTTTTAAGAATATATAGGAATCCTGTGGCTAGAAAATTCAAGTATTGCTGTTCTTGGTTCTATACCTTGTAGTGTAAGTACATAACTATATAACTAGGTTATTATATATGTAGATGTTCGCATAATACTAAATTGCTTGTCTACGTGCTACTTGATTTCTCTAGTGCTGTGGGTGTGTATAAACACTTACAGATTCTCTCTGATGCTGGAACTTGTGGGATGTATTAATTTCTGCCAATCTAGAGGATGTGTACTTGTGTCGTGGTATTCACTTACTTTTCTTGATTACTAAGGACATTAAGTTTCCTTGCACATGCTTACTGACTTATATGCATTACCTTTCAATTTAACACTTATCTTTTCTCTTATGTTGCTCCTTGAAATTAATTTTCCCTGCACTATTTTTTCACTCTTTACTTTTCTCCCAAATTGACAATGTTACCTCTGTTATATGACCTCTTTCATTCTCTGTTCTTCTATGTATACTTTAGATTGGACTTGAATTAGAAGTGTACTGCACATACATTAATATGAGAAGAATTAATTTCCTTATGGTACTGAGTTTTCCTATTTATGAATATAATAAATTCCTACATTTTGAGATATATATGTTAGAATATTAAGCAAATAGGTGGTTTTTGTTAAGATTTGTACCTAAGAGCCTTAATTACTATTACAAATATTTTCAATTTATTATTTGTTACTATTGTATAGCTGATTTTCTAAAATAGATCATCTCTTCTTTCTAGCTACCTTGCTGAATTGTCTCATTATTTTTTTATAAGTTGATTGAGATTTTATTGAGATTTATCATATAGACAGTCAAGTGTTCTAACAGAGGGAAAGTTTTGATTTTTTTTCCCCCTTAATATCTGTGCCTCACTTTCATGTCCTCATGCACTGGGTAGGATTTACAATATGACATGTAAAAAAGGAAAAGTGAGGCCCTCCCTGCTGGCGCAGTGAGTTGGAGCACTGCACTGCGAAGCTAAACCAAACCATGGTCACTTCAAGTTCAATCCCTGGCCCTGGAGGTGACCCACATGGCACAGCAGATCTCTCCGATCTCCTCACAGCTCCCCTCAGCAGTGTACTTTGTCGATCTGCCTGTTCTGCTCCCCTCTCTGTTTCTGGTGAATCCTCTCGCCACCCCTGCACCTCTGGCCTGTGTACCCCACTTTTGTATGCATAAATAAAACTTAAAAAAAAAAGGAAAAGTGATAAGGACATCCTTATCATTTTCCTGAGCTTAAGGGAATGCTTCCAAGCTTTTTCCCTGAAGACAGATGTTTGTCCTTGGAAGTTTATGAATACATTTTATTAAAGAAGTTCTCCCTTCCTAGTTTTCAAAAGCATTCTTGAAAATCATGAATGGGTGTTAAATTTATCAAATACTTTTTCTGAAACTATTGAAATAATCATATCACTTTTCTCCTTGCATGTATTCATTAAAAAGTCTTTTATTTTTTCATACTGAAATTGAGCCCTTTTCAACTTTGGGTTGATGAAACAAGGACACTAGTTTATTGTAATTACAGTAAAAGAGAATAAGACTTAATCTGCCCTTGTTCAGTTCCATCAACATTAGTCAACTGTAAAAAATAAACAGTTCAATGATACAATGCAAGCCAGCACATCTCAAGTTTTCATGTCCATAAGAATCGCCCAAGATCTTATAAAAAGACAGATTCAGACCTATCATGACTGGGATGAGTTCTGAGACTTTACATCTTTAACAAGCTCCTGGTGATGCTGGTCCGCAGTCCAGCATGTACACTAATGGCAAGAATGTAGCTGCCTATACGTGACTGCACTTTTCATTTTTAAAGCTTTTAACCAGTAGGATCAACTTAAAGTTGCAAAGGAGAACTCAGTATAGAGGAAACAATAGCTTAAACATTAAGAAAAATCAGATTTAGGTGTAGATTTTAACCAGAACCTAAGATGGCATGAATTGAGATGCCCCCCTCTGCAACCCCAATGAACTGGTTGTCCCAGTACTGCCCATTACAGTCTCTTATTTGGATGTTAACTGTGATATCTCCCTTCTGTCTGCTCTCTGTAGCTTGATGTTGGGGACAGTGCTGTGGATGAATTTGAAAAGCAAAGGCCAAGCAGAAAACAGAAAAGTTTAGGACTCCTGTGCCAGAAGTTTCTAGCTCGCTATCCAAGTTATCCCTTGTCAACTGAGAAAACTACCATCTCCCTAGATGAAGTTGCTGTCAGCCTTGGTATGTATGATCAGATTACCTGGAGTTACAGTGGGAAACTGACTCCTCATACAGAACAAAGGCTTCAGATAGCCTCTTTTGTTCAATAAAGAGTGGACCTTCCAAAAGCATGAGGACAGAGGAGCAGATAGAGCATCCTTCTGTTAGCATCAAAATCTTCATCGTTATGCAGAAGATTCCAGAGAGCCATCTAGGCCTGAGGGTCAAACAAAAAAATTGACAATGAAAATATTTTTACAAAAGACTCACATTACAAATGAACAGCTCAAGTTTTAGTTTCATCTTGTATCAGACAGACTCAAAAATAATAGGACTAGCCTGCTGTTTATTTTTAAGAATATCTCTGAGAGTTCAGAACTGATATTATTTCTGTGGATTTAAATCAAGATTTAAAGAGCAAGAGCATTATGTATGGCCCTGGTCCATGTTATTCACAGCAAGCCTATGAAACTAGAAAAAGCACATCTAGCCATAAGTCAAACAGGTAAACTTTAAAACAGAAGAATTCCTGTGTTCACATGGTGTGGGTATGTATAATGCACAGTGCTATAGGGCTGTCCATAAGCTGCTTTGGAAGAGAGACCCCTAGTGGGTTTGGATTGCAATTGGTTTCAGGATGAACATAATGTTGAAGCAGAAATCACAGTGAACTGAAGGTTTCAGGATGTGTTTCTTGAAAAGCACGGATGTTTTACATACAGAAAGAAAATGTTCCAAGATGTCAGCTAAATAGGTTTTATGATAGATTATATTTGCAATTCATTTATTAGTTCTATTTCTTCCTGTCACTCAGAGAAATGTGCCCCAATAGATGATTGTCAGTGTGGATTATTTAAACAGATGGTTTAAAAGATTTTAGTTGCTAGAAACTGAAATAATGATGAATCAGTGGGCTATGATGGAAGAAAGATTATCGGCTCAGGGTTAGTTCTGACAGCGTTGTATTTAAGACTAGCTCTCCAATCTACAAACTGTAAGAACTTTTAAAAGTCACATACCCTTTTCTTGTCTATAACAGATACAGGAATATCTACGTTACAGAAACTTAGCAAAGTTGGGGATAATGGCAATAGCATGACTAACGCAGGGCCTGGCATGGTAACTCTTAATTGTCAAGTGGAATAGTTTCTACTTGCTCTTACGAGACCTGTCGCCCTTTCCACAGGTTGTCCTGTCAGCCTCTATAGTTAGGAGAGGAGGAGTAGTGTGCTCTGATTGGGGAGCCATCCTGGAATTCAGAAGCAGAACATGGTGTTTGGCAAAGTAGCAGTGAACCAAGAAGGCGAAAGTGACCCAGGTGGGTGGAGAAGGCTTACTGTGGCCCCGTTGAGGCACAAGGCCCTGGGAACTAGTCTTACAGAGGGTCAAGGTAAAGCAGCAGCCACACAGGTCCTTCTCATTGGGGTTCATGAGGCCAGCTTTCATCAGGTACCACACTGATGTCAGTATAAAGATAAGAATTACAGGTTAGAAGGCTACTATACAGCTCCAAGGAGGACTGAAAATTGAACTCCTACCTTTGGTAGTTGCAAATCCTCTATTAAGACTGCCTAGAGCAGAACTCCATAGATTTATGCCCCCAGCCTGAGAGATGAACTTGCCATCTCCCTTCATGTGAGACTGAAGAATGGGCTCTCTTCCTGGGAATGATTTCAGTGGTGGTCTTCTCTTGGGGTTTGGTCTCAAATTCCTGCTCTGACCCAGGTTACAGCCATCAGAGCGTATTTTAACAAAGGACTCTTTTTGTTCAATACGCGTACTTTAACAGAGTACTAGTGTTTTTTGAAGATTTACTTGTTTATACATACAGAACTGGGGTACAGAACAGAGGTGCAGTGGTGGCGAAAGGACTCACTGTTGAGACAGAGTAGGGTGCAGAATAGGCAGATGGAGGAAGTACACCTGCTGAAGGAGCAGGTGGGGGGGCGGTCAGGAGAGGTCTGCCACGCCCTGTGGAGGCTGGGGGATCAAACTCGCACTGAAATGGCTGCCGCTAGCTTGCAGCACGTTGTCCTAACCCGTTGCGCCACCGGGGAGGGACCCATAGTGCATTTTTCTGAGATTCTGGTCCCATATCGATTTGACTTGGATAGTATCGATAAGAATATAAGACCCCCCCCCGCCCGAATCATATGCAGTGCTGTATGCCAATGTTACTTCAATTAAAAAAAAGAAGAATCTAAGAACTAGGGATATGTTTATTAGTACATGGAAATAGCACCACTGGGAAACCACTGGGCTGAGAGATGGTCTGATAAGCTCCACCCCGGACTAAGGGAAACATGGAAACAATTGACAAATTCTTGAAGGCATAACTAGTGCCATATCTAGGATTGATAGGATTGCCTTCATACAAAGGAAAAAGAAGACTGAGAGCCAGAGAAAACCTTCCTGACAGAGCAAGCCACAGTGAGCCCTGTAGGTTTTCAGCCTTGTGAAGTGTTACTTCTGTGTGAAATAGTACAGCAGCCAGCGGACAGTTCCGCTCAGTCTGGACTGAAGAAGTGAGTGCTCACCTGACACTGGTTCTACATGGACTTTCGTCCACACCACCAGCTAACACCACCAGTTGTTATTAAGCACTGTCATCCTTCCCAAGTGGTCAGGAAGATCCTTCTTCCTTTGCTTTTCCTTCTTGGCCTGTCTAGCCACTAGATGGAGATGTAACAGCTGGTATCCAACACAAAACAACTAAACAGCAGGACATATGGCTGGCCTTGGGGTGTCTTGGTGCCTTCACATGACATTTCTAATGGGAAGGTTTATGAAATGTTATACTCTAAACAAGATATGGTAAAACAGACTGATATCTGAAAACAGACTGGAATAAAGCACCAGGCAGATCTGGATAAGGGGCTGTTGATCACCTCTGCCAGCACCTTCCAGCAGGCACCTGGCATGGAAGCCTGAGCTTCTGCGGGTGAGGAACTTTTCAGGGTCATGAGCCAAAAAGTTCTGATTGACTGTGAAATGCCTCCTACGTGTGGGACAGAACTTCTTGGCTCCAGAGTTCTCACTGTCATTTGGTCCATTTCTCATATTAAATCTTTGAAGGACCATAAGCTAGATTCGCTGAGTCTGCCTTGATTATGTAACGGCTCCTTACAGTTGAATAAAAAGAGGACATTTCTGTAGCTGGTTTTCTGGAAAATGTCCGGAGGCTTCTGTTACAGATACATGAGAGCCACAGATTCTGAAAGACTAAGAGCCTGATGGACAACAGGATGAGTCACAGATGGAGACTTTATTAAATCTGTGTCTACTGTGGCCTCTCCTATTAGCAGGGACTTTAGCATCTTCAGTGCCACGCAGGAAGTATTTTCAAAGTAAAATGCACACAGAAGATGAATCCACATCTATTAGATACCCTTTATGTTCATGATCACAGATAATCCTCATCACTTTATGAGATAAACGTGAAGACACAGGAAGGTTAAGGAGCTTCCCAGGATCACCCAGCTAGTAAGGGATCACGCAGGGATTCAAACCCTGGCAGTCCGACCCCGTAATCTCTGCACTTGACCATGTACATATTTTTGGTACATTCAGTAGCTCATAATCCCAGTTGGTTGGAGAGTGTAGGAGAATAGGGTAGGAAAATAGTGAACTGTATGATCAGCCTGAATTCTACATGGGCCTCTGTGCTTCATTAGTGGGCAGTTTGGCAGGACATGGTGAACAGGAGCACACGGGAGCTGTGATGAGCAAAAGGATTCTTAAATTGCCCCAGCCTGTACAGATCAAGCTTCCTTCACAACCTGAGAGTAGCACCTGAGCTTTTGATTCCTGGGTTTCCAGTACAAACCAGGAAACAAATTCTCTCTTTTCCTTATGGGACCATTATGAGAATTAACAAGGTTAATTTTTTTCACATCATTCAAACTCCTGGAAAGGGTAGTATTGCCCAAAAGCAAGGTATCGGTTATTGAACACAGTTTATAGTCTGCATCATTAAGACTACAAGTCAGAATCTACCATCCAGTATTCATATCAAGCATCATATATCCTGTGACTTATGGTGCTCAGTCCCACCAGTTTAAACAAGCTGAAATATTTTTATGCGGTTTCACTAACAGGTCTAAAGGAAATATATACTACTAGTTATATACTACAAATGGAAAGATCATCCATCTCTAGGTCAGTGTTTCATCCTACACCTTAGTGACAGCTAGATCCTAAGAAAAACAAAAATTAATTTCTACTTGCATTCTTAAAGGTTGAATTTCTTGGGCATCATGTAGTTGACTGATATGGTCAAGAAATTTATACTCAAAAATGTTCACCTGCATCACTGTTGTTTTCTGTTTTTCAAACAGGCGTTGAAAGGAGACGCATTTATGACATTGTCAATGTGCTGGAGTCTCTGCACCTGGTCAGCCGGGTGGCCAAGAACCAGTATGGCTGGCATGGGCGTCACAGCCTGCCCCAAACCCTGAGGAACCTCCAGAGACTAGGAGAGGAACAGAAATATGAAGAACAGATGGCACACCTTCAACAGAAAGAGCTAGACCTGATGGATTATAAATTTGAAGAACGTAAAAAGGATGGCTATCTAGAATCCCAAGATCAACAGCTACTGGAGTTCTCTGAACCTGACTATCCCTCTTGTGAGTCCTTTGTAACCACAAGTAATGTCAGAAAAACAGTGAGAGTCCCTTCTGAAAGGAGATGTGATCTTAGCAGAGATGGCATCTCAGCATGATGTTAAGCCAAGAAGCACCAGATTGACAACTCTGGAGGGAAATGTCCTCTTATTCTCTCTAGCGAAGAAAGAGAGACAGATGGCTCCCCACCGGGCCGCACACTTGACGTCACTTGGAGCCCTATCTGGTGGCTGTACTCTTGTAATTCGGAGTCTTGGACCATAGATGGCTAAACATGCTCCCGTTTTGTATTGACAGCCCCATGCTTTATATTTGAGTCTTTAAGGAAAACATACTTTGAAAGAAGTTATTTTTTTGATGAAATTAAGTTTTTTCATTATAGTGGAATCGATTCTTAGTACTAAGAACTTTGTTCACAGAAAATGTTGATTAGAAAGATAGCAACTCAACCCTGCTTTCATTTGATGTAGCTTTGTTACTTATATCTACATTGTTCCCCTCCCAAACCACATTTATCCTCCTGTTTTTTTTGTTTGTTTGTTTGTTTTTTAAAGATTTATTTATTTGTGGATACAGAACTGGGTACAGGCCAGAGGCTCAGGGGCAGTGAGAGGCTTCACCAGAGACAGAGTAGGGAGCAGAACAGGCAGATCAACGAAGAACACTGCTGAGGAGCGGGCAGGTCAGGAGAGGTCTGCCGCGCCATGTGGTCACCCCCAGGGCAGGCGGGAATCAAACTCATGCAGAAGTGGCTTTAGCTTCTTAGTGTTGTGCTTTAACCCACTGCGCCACCAGGGGGTGCCTATCCTCCTGTTTTAATGTGGATCTCATCGTTCTCATTCTGCTCCCCATTGCTAAGATGATAAAGTACAACTATCATTCACATTTCACTTATAAATAGAAGAAAAAGATGGAAGAAGTAAGGGAGGACCTGCCTCATGTCTTTTAGTTCCTCACGTGAGCCAATTCTTATCCTAGTAACCCGGGAAGACAGCCATCTGTTGGGGGTAGTTTGCCTGCCATCTACACAAGACATACTCAATCATGTCTCCTAGTTACTTCTGGTTTATTTCTTTGCCTGTTTCTCAAAATAAGTGAACCTGTTATGTTCAGGGCATATTCTAGATCTCGTGGACACCAAGAAATAAAAATTCAGTCACTGCCTTTGATGGGAGATCTGATATTCTCTAAACAATTAGTGATTCCTACTTTACCCATCCTTTTATCCTTCCACATTAATCTTTTCAAAATGTTGATTCAGGAAACCTGCCTCATGAATTGTTTTCTATAAAGCATAAGTGTAAGCCATTAAGAGTGGTTTAAAATATGCATTCCAGAGTCCATGCCTACCAGAGAGGAGTTTTATGAGCCACAAGAAAACTCATGTTACTTCTTTATGAGCCGACTTTTGTGATGTGTGTCCATTTGACTTCCGCCTATAACAAGACTGATCTTTCCATCTGCTGGGAGAGTTAAATAGTTCTGGAAAGCCATAAGCACCATCTTTCTTGTGGTTAATTCTGTGTTTTGATGCTTTCATTTTATTCCTTTTGTAGCATCTGCAAACAGTAGAAAAGACAAGTCTTTGAGAATTATGAGCCAGAAATTTGTCATGCTCTTCCTTGTCTCCAAAACCAAGATTGTTACCCTTGATGTGGCTGCCAAAATACTGATAGAAGAAAGCCAAGACACTCCAGACCAGAGTAAATTTAAAAGTAAGCATCTTCACTAAACCCTCTTATCAGCACAAAAAGGGTGGGATTTCATGTGCTCATGTTTCCTGACTCAGACAAAAAGAATGTTTTTGGGTTTGTGTGTGTGTGTGAGGGAAGTCCAGTTCTCATAAAGGTGTTCTTCATGTTGTGAGAGGTAAGTTAGTCACATTCCAACATTCCTGACAATTCTGTCAGGTACCAGCGGTTGTTTCTGTAGTGTAGTGGTTACCACGTTTGCCTCACAATTCTGTCAGGTACTTTTTCCCAGCAGTTAGTCGCCAGTGGAAGTACTGCTTTCCCGCCAGAGCAGGTCAGGGGGGTGTGAGGTGTGTTGCATTTCTCTTTAGTATCGCTGCATCCATGATGGAATGTCTGAGTTTTCTTTCCCCTTTTCTCCTCGCCCACTGCATACTCTTCTCATGGGTGGAAATGAAAGTTGTCTACAGGTAAGAACCAGAGGAATGTCCAGGGTAGGGTAGGGGTGGTGGGACATGGCTACTAGACAAGGAAGGCGTGTCAGGTTTCGCATCCAATGCATCTTTTTGCACAGCACAGATCCAGCCACATGCCTTCTGCTGCCACTAGCCCTTTCAAGCCCTGGGAAGCCATGAGCCCGACATTCTCTCATTTGTTTTATTTCCAGCTGGAATTATAATCATGCTGTGTGGGAGACATGACTGGATAAAATCCAGCTCTATCAGGATTGGGAAGAAAATTGCATCTGGGGTGAATGCTTGATGTTTCTAGATGATAATCGGAGCTCCTTTGCTTGATCTTAGCCCTGAGGTCAAGTGAATTTCCTACCTGTAAATCGATTTCTTGAACAGAAATTACTTTTTTGGCATCGTTGTCCTGCCTATTTAATGTGTGATCATCACTTCTGAATTTCTCCTTCAACACATGCATTTTCAAATGACTCTCCCGAAACCTTGTAAAATTCAGGAATCGTCCATCTCCACTTCTCCCCTAGGATTTCAGGTGAAAAGCAGCTTGGCTTTAGCACAGTCATGTCTCATAACCTTGAGCCCTAGACATCCTGTGCGCCCAGGAGTGCAACCTCACAGGAGGCTTTGGGGAATCCCTGTCATTTTCACAGACCAGCTGCCTGGCAGAGTTGCTGCCATGACCTCCTGCTGGGAGAAACTCAGGGCAAGCTTTTTAATGCGCCACATCTCAGAATTATATTTGCTAAACCTTTAATTACAACCCATCTCCCTCCCTTGGTGTTTTTGCCATCTCAGTGCTTCCAGCCTGTCACCAGGTGCCTCTTGTAAGAGGTGTGAAGTTGTAGAAATGGAAGGACACACTGACCTTCCCTTGATGTGATCAGATGCATAAATCCTGGCTGATTTCATGACAGAGCCATTTGTCTCTTTATCCCACCCCACTGCTTTCCAATTGAGGTTTATAGGCTGGTCAAGAAAAGCAACCTGTCACACAAACTAAAATGTAATAGTGTCATGGACGGCATGACCATAATTGTGTTTTATATCTTCAAGCAAAGGTACGACGCCTCTATGACATAGCCAATGTTCTGACCAGCTTGGCGCTGATAAAGAAAGTGCATGTAACGGAAGAACGAGGCCGTAAACCTGCCTTCAAATGGATTGGGCCTGTGGACTTCAGTTCCAGTGGTAAGGAGGCATGGTTTAGCTAGGAACCTGTTTTATTTATAATTCCTCATCACATTTCTAAATCATACATCTGTTGATCTCCAATTCCCACAACCCATGTCACATTCAGAATTAGGCCAGTGGGCCCTCCCCGATGGCACAACTGGTTGGGACGCAGCACTGCAAGCTAGCCGCAGCTGCTTCAGTGCGAGTTCGATCCCCTGCCCTGGAGGTGATCCACATGGCGCAGCAGACCTCTCCTGACCCGCCCGCTGCTCCCCTCCGCAGTGAACTTCATTGATCTGCCTGGTCTGCTTACCACTCTGTCTCTGGTGAATCTTCTCACCGCCCCTGCACCTCTGGCCTATACCCCAGTTCTGTATGCATAAATTAAAAAATAATAATAATAATTAGGCCAATGATGTCACTCTTGGAACAAGCGTTAGTCTCTGAATGGTATGTGCTCGTTGGCTCATACTATTAAATTATAGCTCTTTAGTGCTTTTTATTACCTTCTGGGTTTTTTTATTTTCTGAAGATTAAAAAAGATACTTCTTATGAGTTTTGGTTATTTCTACATTAGTAGAATAAAACATTGTTTTTCTTTGAAATTTCAGGTAATGTAAAAATTATAACATTTTCTATTGTAAGACTGATTATGTGGTAATATGATTTCTAAATATAGTATGGATATGTCGTGAACATCATTTTTTTATAATTGATCTAAAAGGTTACAACTGTCATAATTTTATTAAACCAGAACAGAAGAAAGTGTTATTTTCTATTTCATAGATAACATCTAAGCAGTTGGGAACAAGATCCCATTGTACCAACTACTTTACATATAGCTATGCTGCCTGGAAAAAAGGCATTAAAGTAATTTTTAAATTATCTTTCCAATTGTGGTGTCAGTGGTATGAATTCCTGCCACTTAACCCAGGCATATCACAGATAGAGCCCTCTATCTCCCTGACACATTATTCACTTAGGATATAGCTGAAAACGCTTAAAATCAAGTATAACTAATTCAATCCAGTAAGTATTTACTGAATGTGGACTGCACAAGATTACTATACTAAGTGCTATAAGAGATTTAAAGGCTTATATGATGCAGTCCCTGCCTGCATGAAATATGCATAGGTCTTCACTTACTATCATGGACTGGTTCATGGAAACTGCAACTTTAAATGGCATGTAATGAAACCAGGTTCTCCAAAAATATTTCTTTCAGCAGCACCTGGGTTTTTTGTTTTGTTTTTTTAAGATTTATTTATTTATGTATACAGAACCAGGTTACAAGCCAGAGGTACAGGGACAGTGAGAGGATTCACCAGAGACAGAGCAGGGAGCAGCACAGGCCGAATGACAAAGTACACTGCTGAGGAGAGCAGCGGGCAGGTCAGGAGAGGTCTGCCGCGTCCTGGGTCACCTCCGGGGCAGGCAGGGATCAAACTCACGCTGAAGGGGCTTTAGCTTCTTAGTGCTGTGCTTTAACCTGCTGCACCACCAGGGAGGGCCCAGCTGGAGTTTTTTTCCCTCATCAACTTTATAAAGAGAGACATCATTGGAGGGCCTGTAGCACCACTTGGCTCTGTCTCCTCTGCCTCTGGCTTCTCCTACTGCCCTTCTCTTTTTCAACATTAAAATATTGTACTCAACCTTCCAGATCTGACTCAAAGGTCAATTTCTTCAAGAAGCTTAACCCTGGTCACCCAGAGCAGCATCTGTCATCTGCATCATTGCAATTTCAGTTGTGCTTGGTAATGTTGATAATGCTCCATTCTCCCTGCTCTACGTACCTGTGGCCAGATGCTGTCAGTATCTTGCTTACTTTAGCTGCTTAATGAACTTCTATTGAAGATGTATAACTAGCATTTGAAAATTAGCTAACAGTTAAGCACTACACCTGGTGGTACTGGCCCTATAGAAATGCAAACAGTATATAAGGCTTTCTGATGGGCTGTTGTGTTGTGGAGTGATGGAGAGCTTTTTGGTTGAAGGAATAACATACCTAAGAACAAATCTATCTTGATTTAGAGACATCCTAGGGTAGAGAATAATGAGAAAATGAGATTGATTGGCACTACATATTGGAAAGCATCAAAGGTTGAGCCAAGAAATTTGTACTAGATGTAATAGAAGTGACAAGGGGTCTTTAGATCTATTAAAAGAGAGGAGGGACTTCACCATGGTGGTTTGGAGAAGTCAAGTTCATGTTTGCATTAAATTCGGACAGGCACTGGGGGAGAGCTTCGATCAGACTGGGAAAGAGGTCTTAAACCAAGGTGAGGAACTTTCTCTATTCTTCAAAAATATGGCTCTCTGAATTCCCTAGTTCCATTAACAATATTGTCATCATCAATCCAGCAGTGAAACAGAACATCAGCGTCAAGTCATCTTTGATTCCTTAATTCACTCTCCCTCACCTCTTGACTAGCCATTTCAACTGCACAAATGTCTCTTGTTTTTCCTCTCCACTATCAACACTCAGTTTATACATGAGTGTTTTCTTTTTTAACAGTTATGTGGAAGTGGCATTGACATAATTAAGTTACAGTTTGATCAGTTTTGCATTGTCTGTGAAATTACCACCACAATCAAGATGTTAACCTTTCACCTCCAAAGTCTCCTTCTGTCTCTGTATTTGCCCTGCCCCTCCAACCCACAGGCCTGGCACAAGCACGGACCTACTTTCACTCTAAATTTGTTTGTATTTTTCTAAACATTTCTATACACAAATCTTATATGCAGTGCTTCTAATTCATAAATTCCATATTGGAAATTCACCTACTCTCTAGAATTTGTAACTCCAAAATTGTACTCCATACTCCATTTTCTCATTCATGGATTGCTGAGTGGTGACATACTTGAGAGGTCGATCCACGTGTTCCCAGCTTACGATGCGCGGGCAGTGTGCTCTGCCATCTTGCCTCAGCTCTCATCCCATAAACAAGCATCCTCTGACAGTCTTTATAGTGCCATGTTTTCCCATTTGTGTGCTTTGTAATGGTGATTTTGCTATTTGAAAGGGTGCCCACAAGTTTTAATTCATCTGTTTCATTTGGGAGAATTCACCTGACTCTTCTCTGAGATTTTACCAACAGATTCTATTTTCTAATAGCTAATTGCTATAGGACTATTCATGTTCTTTTTTAGTTTCTTTCTCCTACTTCAGTTCAATTTGTTCTTTTTCATTTTTCTAATGTTTGAGATGTCTTCTCATAAGCATATAGTACTATAAGCTTCTTCCTCTACATACTGCTTTCTTCTCTACCCCACAAATTTTATATGTGTTTTCATTGTCTTCCAATTCGAAATACTTTGCAAATTCCCTTTCAATTTCTTCTTTGGGCCACAAGTTATTTAGATGTGTGTTATATACTGGTTATAACTGTAGATTTGTCTTTCTTTTTACTGTTCTGTTAAGTTTTACTGCATGTATTTGAAGTCAGTAGTTGCACAGACTCTTAGAACCCATCTTTATATCTTTTTAAAGAAATGACCTTTTTTTAATTATAAAATGGCATTTTTTATACCTAGAGATAATTCTAGTCTCTAAAGTCTACTTTATTTGATAGTAATAACATCACCACTTTCTTTCTTGTAATTAGTTGGCATAGTACATATGGTTCGTCCTTCTAAATAACTGGTACATACATTTTAAATAAGCTTCTGGTAGACAAGATATAATTGAAGGTATTTTAAATATCTGATGTGACAATTTCTGCTTTTTAATTAGGTTGTTTAGACCATTTACATTTAATGTGGTTATTTACATATTTGGATTTTAGTCTATCATTTTGCTATTGCTCATTCTTTTACTTTTTCCTTCTTTTGGATGTTTTTGTTTCCATCTTATCTCCTTGACTGCCTTGTTAGCAGTAACTTTATCATCATATATAATCCTTTATTTCATGTTTTATTGATTTCATTTATTTTTTCATTTTCATAGCTAGATACCTTCGTCAGATAGTGCACCTATCACCAACTCACCCACAGTTCATTAGCTGTAACTATTTGTGTTATTTAGTGATTGCTTCAGAGGTTATAGTTTGCACATTTTACTGTGATAAGTTGTAAGTCTCTCTTTAAGTAACATATTACTAATTTTATATAAGAACCTTATAATAGCATACTTCCATTTCTCTCTGCCTGACCTTTGTAATTGTTGTCAAAAACTGCTGCTCTATATGATGAATGTTATAATGCAATTATTTATTACTTTCGCTTAAAAGACTTGCTTGCATTTTGAAGATGTTTTAATAAGACTGATAACTAGCCATGTAGTAACTATTTACAGTGTTCATTATCCTCTTTTCTAAATGTCAGTTTTCATCTTATTTTTCTGCTGCTTGATGGACTTTAACATCTCATAGCTGATGTCTGCCAATAATTTTTTCCAGCTGTTGTATGGCTGAAAATGTCTTTATTTGTTTTTGAAAGTTATTTCCCTTGGTAAGAAGCCTAGGATGCAGGCTTTTTCTTTTCAGTGCTTTAAAAACTTTGCTTCACTGTTTTGTTTTACATATGTTGTTCAGTATTTTTAGTTTCAGGGATATGAGTAAATATAAAACCTGTTACTGTCTTGGCTCATTTTCTTCTCTTTGAAGCTGTAATTTATGACTTTCTAAAAAGAACTTTTATTGGGTTTTTGTTATAAAAATTAAAACAGGTGATTTTCTTCTACAGTTTTTGAATTATAGTGGAACCTTTCAGTTTATTTTTATTTTTATAATTAAAATATACATGCTTGATATCTTAGTAAAAATAGCACAAGTGAACAGGGCACAAATGACAATCAGCAACAGGGACTATTTCTATATAAAAATATAGGATTGGCTGTATATAGAAAATTCTATCCTGACTTCACACAGGCTCCTGTAAGTTTAAAATGGGTCTCCAAGTTCCAGGTTTCATTTCTCACTGATCTGCAGCATTTCAGCCCTGAGGTTTCTGCCAACCTTACTCCTTTGGTCACTTAGTAACTGAGCCTCTTGCGTAAGAAAAAAATAATAAAGCATAGTAGAAATAGAAACCCTTATGCTCACTGTCCAACAGCTGCAGCTTAAAAGGCTGACCGCAATTAAAATATGTATTTTGGGAGCCTTCCTGGTGGTTAGCAGGGTAAAGCACAGCATTAAGAAGCTAAAACCATTTCAGCATGAATTCGATCCCCGCACCGGAGGTGACCCACATGGCGTGACAGACCTCTCCTGACCCACCCACTGCTTCCCTCTGCAGTGTACTTCGCTGATCTGCCTGTTCAGCTCTCCACTCTGTCTCTGGTGAATCCTCTCACCGCCCCTGAGCCTCTGGCCTGTACCCCAGTTCTGTCTGCATAAATAACGAAATAAATAAATCTTTTAAAAAAATGTACATGTTGGGCTAAGCATGACTGGGTTTTCGTTTGATATTCTCTACTCAAAGAAAAGGATCTGAAATGTCAGGTCCATTCTAATTTGGGTTGAAGAACATCCTGCTCTACTTTTGTTGCATTCCAGATAATTTAGAATATATGGATTCAATCTCACATTATAGTTGTCCATGAACTTTCAAAAAAGATTATTAGTACATCGAAATAAATTGGGGATTCAGACAGGCTCATAAAATTCCTTTGATTGTCTCAGTTTTTAATTTACAAGGTTGTTCCATTACAATTAGCTAAGTAACAACACGACCAATTTTCTCGTTTATTTAGATGAAGAACTTGTGGATGTCTCTGCACCTGTCTTACCAGAACGAAAAAGAGAAACATATGGCCAGGGTCAGGTCTGTGGAAAACAAAAGCTGGCTCGACATGGCTCTTTTAACACAGCTCAGAGTTCTGAGAGGATCCAGAGGAAAGTGAACTCCGAGCCCAACAGCCCTTATAAAGAACAAGGTATCTGCCTCTCTGGAATCCACCTCATTGTCACTGTGCCTAGACACTGGTATTTTAAAATAAACTGGCTCTCAAGGTCCTGCCTGTTTTCATTTACCTCAGGTGAAACTACAGTGAAGGGTAAAAGAGTTGCTGCTGTTCACAGTGTAGGACCATGCATGAAGTTGATCCCAGTCGGCCTTTGAAATCAATTGAGTTGTTTTGTTTGCCTAATTGAAGCCTCTCAGAAATATATTAGATTTGTCAATCAACACCTATATTGTTTTCTTACTAATTCTTTATGAGACATGAATTCTTCATGAAAAACAAACTTTGGGAAATTTCTGAATGAAAAACAGACTGGATTTGAGATTCTCTTATTAACTCCTGAGCTGTGAATAATGAATCCTGCTGTATATAATTGCTATGTATTATCTTTTGCTATATTTGTTAAACCTTCATTTTCCTTTTCAGGATCAGGTGGCTATTCCTTAGAAATTGGAAGTCTGGCAGCAGTCTACAGGCAGAAAATAGAACACAGTTCACAGTAAGTGGTCTTCCAAAAATCCCAAGTGTATTCCATTTTCTGGTGTTAAACTGGGCTAAATTGAGATGCTACCCATCAAGAGGTGGAATTTAGCAGTCTTGCTTATATTTGCTTATTAACAGTTTTGTAACTTTTCCCTACCATGGTGTGGGATGTACCATCGGGATACAAAAACTAGGGAATTTTATAGCCTAATCTATGAAAGCTTAGAGGAAAAAAATTCAACAGAGAAATACACTGAAAAAAAAAGACAGTTCAGTACTATCTGACACGTAAAAATGATGGATCGTCATCCTGTGACTCACTCAGCATCCTAGCAGACTTGATTTTTTTTTTTTTTTTAAGATTTATTTATTTATTCATACAGAACTGGGGTACAGGCCAGAGGCTCAGGGGCGGTGAGAGGCTTCACCAGAGACAGAGTGGGGAGCAGAACAGGTAGATCGACGAAGTACACTGCTGAGGGGAGCAGCGGGCGGGTCAGGAGAGGTCTGGCTTGCCATGTGGTCTCCTCCGGGGCAGGCGGCAGGCGGGAATCGAACTCATACGGAAGTGGCTTCAGATTCTCAGTGCTGTGCTTTAACCCGCTGCGCCACCAGGGAGGGCCCTAGCAGACTTGATTTTTAAGCTCTCAGGTCCTGCTCCAAACGTTGATGTATAGTCACTCATCTAGCACACCAGCAATTATTTGAAGTTGGTACTGATTCACATTTTCGAGAGGAACTAAAACCCTGAGAGGCTAAGTAACTTGCTCCTGGTCATACTGCTAGTAAGTGACAGGGCTGAGATTCAAACCTGGCCATCTACCTCCATGTTTAGTTCTGATTTTGAAGGAAACCACATTTATCAAAGGGAGCAGAGGAAATGTTGAAAGGGAAAAGTGTGTGTGTGTGTGTGTGTGTTTTTAAAGATTTATTTGTTTATGCATACAGAACTGGGGTACAGGCCAGAAGTGCAGGGATGGTGAGAGGATTCACCAGAGACAGAGTGGGGAGCAGTGAGCAGGTCAGGAGATGTCTGCCGCGCCATATGGGTCACCAGGGCTGGGGATCGAACTCATGCTGAAGTGCCTTTAGCTTCCTGCTGCTGTGCTTTAAACTGCTGTGCCACCAGGGAGGGCCGAAAAGTGGTTTTAATGACAGTTATGGGACAGTAGATAGTGAGGCAGTATCAAGAAGTTAGGGGACAAGGCACTGATTAGTTAGCTGTAACAGTTTGTCCAAGTAGTAGAGTAAAAGGAGATAGTCATAAAAAGAGCCTGGGTGTTGGTGGGAAGTAGGTCAAGTTAGCAAAAAGCTTTGAAAGCTAAGTAGAAGAATCTGGATTTATCAGACAGACAGTACAGAACTATTCCCTGGAGAAGAACACTCTGGCTGCTTTCAGCGGGTGGGATTAGATTCTGAAAAGGGCTCCAGGTGAGAAGATCACAGAGCAGAGCATTAGCTGACAATCATTCTGGCCTGCTGATGCTCGTCTCAGCCATGTCAGCTGGAGATAGAAAGGGATGGGAATCGGTGTGAATACCGTGAGTCAGACTCAGGAAAGTAAGGAGAGGCATCATAAAGAACATCTGGGTGTCAGATGATGGTGATATTATTAGTGACGATGGGGAGGTGCGTGGCTGAAGGTGGGAGGGTGTGGGTGTGCTCAGTGTGGACTTGTCGAATTGAGTAATACATTACTCACCACTTATCCGGAGGGGACTGTGATTAGAGAGATTTACTCATCTCTGGCACCCAGTGCCTTCTATTTTACACCCAGTCGCACAAAGGGTGATGAAATTGCAGACAAAAAATAGGCCTCAGCAATCTCATCACAAAGTTTCAGAGAAGTCTCTGTTCCTCTTACTGGTTCTTAAAGGAATCTTAAGGATTTTTCTCCTCTGTTTCTAGAAAGATACCCAGAATATAAAATGTTGTTGAAGTTAGAAACTTTTCTGTAGAAAAGGCCCAGATAATGTATGTAATCTCGTCTCTTGAGGGAACTTAACTTTCAAGTTGCTGCCTAAAGGTTCTGTAGTGTTAACCAAACAGAATGGGACAAGAAAGCTGGAAAAGAGTAATTTTGTAGAAAAGTCTGTTTGCTCACTCACTGCCCACTTCATTAGTTTCATAGTGAATTTGAGACAAGCTAGGTGTGTCCTTCAAGCGTGAGAGCAGCTTCACTGTCACTGAGCTGGATGACCGTCAGCAGGCTATTTTACCTTTCAGTTTTATTTAGTTTTCTTCCCTAGTAAACTGGGGGGAGCTTTGAGAGTAGCGTTATAATTACATCATCATCATTATTATGCTAATCACTATAGCATCTGTGTGCCTGATAAGGGATCTGTGCTGGGTAATTGACAGTGGAGAGGCAGGAAAGAGCCAGTATGAATTCTAACCTGAGACGCCCCCATGAGCTCATCCCAGATTGACTCCCCCACCCCATCCTGAACCATCTATCCCTGTTAGACCTCATCATCTGCCTCTGGGCTTTGCTAATAACAGAGAATACATTTGCACATCAACTATCTAGTGTTACTTCCTGCTTTGGTAGGAAAGCAGAGTCAGGAGGTTGTAGAAGGTGGTAGGTAATTGGAATGCCCCCACTGTTTTCTTTTCTTCCAGGGAGAAACCATTTGCCAGTGAGAAAATGATGCCTCCATCAAGCAGCCCGGACCCTGCTGCTCCCTTTCCTGTCCTCCCTATTGACTCAGATTATCGTGCTAATCCTTTAGCCAACCAAGTATTTTCTGTGGCCCAAACAGACTTGCAGGCCTTCTCCACACACGGTGGTCTAAATGGACAAGTCGGCTCCTTGCTCGCTTCTGCAGCCTCAGATGTGGAGAGCCTGAGGCCAGCCCTGCTGGCCGGCCAGCCCTTGGTGTATGTACCGTCCACCTCACTGTTCATGCTGTATGGGAACCTGCAAGAGGGGCCGACCCCCAGGTCGGGGGCTGGGTCAGAGAGGGACAGCCAGGGCTCGGAAGTCCTTACAGCAGCAGAGTCGTCATCCTCACCCTCAGTCCAGAAGCGCCTTGGCGAGGAGAGGAAGTCTCAGGAAGAGGAGGAGCCAGCCACCAAAAGACAAAGTCGGGACTACGAAGATGGTCCTCTGTCCCTCGTTATGCCCAAGGTAAGGGATGCTGCGGGCTTGTTGAGTGACATCCTTTAGCCCACCCATCTCCCAGGTGATTATTTTTGATTCACAAAAATAAGCCACTTGAGTCTGTAAAATGAAGCTGTGTGTCACTTGTGTAAATGAGCTGGGAACTGACTCCCCCCAAAGAGTGTGTCATAAAGTAATACTATAAGAAAAGTGATTTTTATGGAAGTTTTATTTTGCATAAACTACTGAAAAGATAAAACAAAAGTGTATCTGTCACCCCACCACATGGAGGCATGTGCTTTTCCTCCCTATCCTTTTGCTGTACTTATATGAGTAATGATCACTGAAATAATCCTCCTAATCCAAGGTACAACTGAGTTCCAGGGCTGTTACTCATTGTCTGTGCTCAAATGTGGCTCTCATCACTGCTCACAAGTATCATTTCTCTTGCTATGAAAAGCACAAAACAGCTGTCCACATCTGCCACTTAGCAGAGGTTAGTGAGATATGGCCAGTAAACCTCTCCAAAGGCAAGAGCAGTGTCAACGTAGCAGGTAGAATTAGGTCACCTAAGCACATTTCATGGAAATCAGCCTATTCATTAAGACCCTTTCTCCTCTTTTCTCTCTTGCTTCTCTCTATCTAACTCTAGCTTGCAGTTACAGAAAAGAAGTGAAAGACGGACTGGTAATATATCTTAGGTAACCAAGACAGCTTTGGGTCAGACCCATAATTCTCATCAGGTTCCTGAAGAGACAGTAGCATCCACACCCTTTACTTATGGACAGCTCGGAAATGTATTAAACACACCACCTTTCTCCCATTATTAAAATCTCTATCACAGGCACTCCCTGATGGTACAGTGGGTTAAAGCACCACATTATGAAGCTCTCCAAAGCCACTGCAGCACGAGTTCAATCCCTGGCCAGGGAGCTGACCCACATGGCGCGGCAGACCTCTTCTGACCCGCCTGCTGCTCCCCTCAGCAGTGTACTTTGCTCCCCACTCTGTGGTGAATCCTCTTACCCACCACACTTCTGGCATGTATCCCAGTTCTGTGAGCATAAATAAATAAATCTTTAAAAAATATTTCCATCATTTCTAGGCTTTAGAATGATGACTCTACACATACACATGTGACACTGATTTTTGGGCCCTTTCTATTAATATAACTGACTTGACTGCCATCACAAATCAGCATGGCTCATGGCCACCTTTGCTTATTTGTTCACTGTTTTGAGGATATTGTTTTAAGATTCTGACATGCTTTTCTGGTGCCTGGTTTGTTTGTGCTTAGAAACCCTCAGATTCCACAGACATTGCCTCTGCCGAGATCCTAGGGAGCAGGGGGTCTACACCCCAGGAAGATATTCATATGAATGGCCACCTTTCTGCAGCAAAGGAGTTTTTAGGAACGGCTACAATGAATGGCTTTGTTTCTTCTGAATGGGGAAATCCCTCAAGAAACACAGAGATTGAAAAGCCTTCCAAAGAAAGCGAAAGTGCCAAAGAGCCATCTTTGCTTCAGTATCTTTATGTCCAGCCACCTGCCGGTAAGGAACATCATCAGGCCACAGAGTCCTTAGGTCAGAAACTGAATTTAGAACTTTCTGTGCATGTGGTCTGGTCAGTGGGGTCCTTTGGGAGCTGCTGCTGATCGCCTGAGTCAGTTATTATCAGCCTCCTTATTTTCTCCATCTATGAAAATGAAGATAGAGGCATCTTTCACTTTAACTTTTCAGTAGTGGAAAAATAATTAGGACAGGTGATTTTATCTTGTAATGCATTACATTTTAGTTGGTTTTTTAAAAAAAAGGCACCACAAATTCAAAAGAAGAATCAGTGGCTATAGTTCTGCTGATCAGGCACTTGTTCTCTACAACAAAGTGGTCAGCTAGCTTGCTCCTTTTAAATGTCCAGAAGCACTGGGCTTGTCCACATGTGGAAGGCCAGTTCATTAGTAAGAGGACAGGCTGTGATGAATACTTGTTGTCATAATCATAGGACAGCTGTTCAGCCATCTTTATAGGTAAAAAGGAATAATAATAGCACCTGCTTCATAGTACTGCTATGAAGACTGAATTCAATTTAATAATAGATCCAAAACATTTAGAATAAGAGTGCCTGACACTAACACTTAGTAACTATCATTATTCTTTTTGAAATAAAGCTAAAATATAATAGATACCCAAGTTTTTAAGGTAAGCACTGTGTAATGAAACCACCCTTGATACAGAAATACTTAAAATGATGTCCTTCTATTCCTGTTCACCTTATATCAATATATTAGGGTAGACATTTGTTATTCCTTTGTCTAGAAAACATTTTTTATTCCTATAGCAAATATTTATGAGGGCTTACTCTAAGCATGATGCTCAGGATTATGGGTACCCGATGAATGGAAAACAGCCCACTCCGGGGATTTTAGCCTTTTCTGGCCATGAGCCCTTTGACCTATGGATTGGTCCTCAGAATGTGGCTGTGATCATAATAGAGAGAAATACAAATTTCAGTCAGAAGTTTTGTAAAATAAAGATAGAATTACTCCAATCCAAGTTTCCTCTTCAATTTGGCTCCAGTGACACATTAAGAAGCCCTTTCAGGACCCTCCCTGGTGGCGCAGCGGTTTAAAGCCCAGCACTAAGAAGCTTAAGCCACTTCCGCATGAGTTTGTTCCCCGCCTGCCCCAGAGGAGATCCACATGGTGTGGCAGGCCTCTCCTGACCCGCCCGCTGCTCCCCTCAGCAGTGTACTT